TTTTTTTTTTTTTTTAGAAAAAAAGCACTGTCCAAACCTTCCTACATTGTCACAAAGATATCTACTTTTATCCTCCTGATCAACTGAGTTACTCTTATTTCACTCATCTCCAAGTTGATAGATAGTTTAAAAGTGTTAACTGAAATATGAAGTTGCAGGGGAATCATGTTACTCTATGAAGGCAAAAAAATCAGTAGGAGTTTGGCAGCATTTGATAATTTTTCAGAAACAGCTACTTACTTAAAAATGATGGATGAGGAATCTGTTAAAATAGCCTCCAGTCAAGTAAACTGGAGCAGTTATGAGTAGTCCTATAGTAGAATAGGATTGAATATGAACCAGCAAAATGATATAGATGCAAAAAAAAATGTTTTTAAAAAAATATAATTTCCAGCTCATAGGAAGCAATAGTTCCACTTGATCCTCCAACATCAAGAATTGTATTCAATTCTGGGCATCATATTTTATAAAGGATTCAAAGAAACTGGATCAAGTTCACAAAAATACAACTAATATGATCTGGGAACTAGAACTAAGTCCTACAAACAATGATGGAATGGGTAGGTATGTTTTCTCTGAGAAAGGACTACTGAAGTATTTAGCTTTGAGAAAACAACAATAACAACATGGGGAGGGGGTATTGATAGCATTCTTCAAATACCAGAAAAGTTATCATCCATAAAAAAATCAAACTCTGTTCTATCTTATCCAGTATGAAGAATAAATATATGTAGAAAGAGATTTAAATTACAGGATGGCAAATTCTGACTGAATGATGGGGTAAAATCCTGTTTAATTTAACAGCAGAACCATTTACTCAGAAAATAGTGGGCTCCCCTTGACTAAATGTGTTCCCAATTAGTGCATGTTGGATTCAGTGCAGGGATAACAAAATAAAAGAGTTGGTAGGGACCTTGAGGTCTTCTAGTCCAATCCCCTGCTCAAGCAGGTGACTCTATACCATTCCAGACAAATGGTTGTCCAGTGTTTTTTTAAAAATCTCCAGAGATGGAGCACCCACTTCTGAAGGCAAGCCATAGAAGTGATGACTGCTTCACTAGTAGAAGGACTATCTACTGCAAGAGAATACCTTTTTATCTACTTGTTAGCATTGAGCAGAAACAGATGTTTTAGTAATATAGGAACTGCAAGCCATCAATCTTCTACTGTATGTTTTTTCCAGAAAAATCTCTTAGGAATGGTTTGGGCATTAAATATATCACGTTAGATCTGTATTCCCTTCTTCAGAAAATAATGACAGAAAAACAACTGACCATTTAGCTAACTGCTATTTTTTTGAGACAAAGGCAAGCCCTTTTCATATTTTTATAAAGTTCCCTCCACAATCCTTTATCTAAAGCTTCAATTAATCATTTTCTGATCTGAGGGCTGCAGCCCGGATCACACAGCCCTTGGTCTACTGCCACTGTCCTTGCAACTGGCAGTTCTGAACAGTATCCTGTCTTGCTGGGGAAATGCGGTTGACCTTTAAATAATGCAAGTATAGTGAGAAATATGAGAAATAGAAAAGGGATATTCTAAAAATAGTGCACCATCACATACTGTACTTCAGTGGCTTTAGCTCGGCAACTCATAAAAATACACAGGATATACTCATTTTTTTAAAAACTGATGTAATCCTCATTGGTTATGGTTATTTCTCCCTGGCCTTGGAAAAATTACAAGAACAACAGTCCTGGAAAACAGGGCAGATCATCTTAACCTACCCTGAAGGGGCTTAATATTGATACGATGGTCATGTCCATGACAAAGCAGCACCTTTCTCTCTGCAGGTGCAGCAGAAGTTGAGAACAGGAGATAGGCCCAAACCATGAGAAGACAAAATAGGAGAAAGCTATAACAATAAGAAAAAGGATACGAATATGGAAAAAATGACTCCTATAATATTCTGCATTTCTTGAAAACTTGCAGTATTCATCAATCTCTAAATTTTTATTCTGCCTTTTTCTCTAGACCAGCAGCCATCTTGGTTGTGGATCATAACTTATTTTCCTGAGTAACTAGCTGGTAATCTTTTAGTAATGGGTTGACCTCATCAGAAAAGGCAGATTTTGGGTAAATTTAAAAATTATTTTCAGGAATTTGAGGACTTAAATGCCACCACCATCCCCATTGCTCAACATCATGCAACCAAAATGCACAATGACCACATTTCATCACCCAAAAACCCATCATGGACATTGCTTCCCCTTGTGCAGCACCCGTCCACACACACACCTGACATTTTATAAAGCTGTTATTCTATGTGTTCTTGATTTTCTGTTTGGTTGTCTAGGATTGTTTTGAGGTGGGTTGTCTTCGGTTCTTTTTATTGCTTCTTCTTATATATCCAGAATATTCAAGTTAAGATAGGTTACAAACATTGCAAATAAATAAATAATAAATAAATCTCTGTGGACTCCCTGGGATATAAATTTTAGCAAGGAACATATTCAAAGCCTTTAACACTGGTGTGATGTTTTTTGAGGGGGAAGTATCTAATTGTCTATATTCTAGCATTGGGCAAATGTTCTGTAGATAATCGCAGAGATCACCTTGGGAAGGAAGGAGGTGGTTAGCCAAACATGGCTTAAGGCTGAGAAAACGTGAGAATATTAGCAAGAAAAATAATTTGGTTCTGTCTTAACTCTAGTATAAGAGGAAGGAAAGGGAACACACAATCAGTTTTTTTCAAGATTTTGTTATTATAGCCTTTACCAATAAAGGACAATTCTAGTATTTCATATGGAGTCTATTTCCTGACTTGGGCTACCTCAGAGGGATGACAATTTGAAAATAACTAGAAAGTCATGTTTTATATCTCATCCAATCATAGCATGTCTCTGCTATTCATTAAATTTAATCCCCCCTTTTTTTTCTCCAAAAGAGCATGCTGGTTTAAGAATCATCTTATTTGAATCAATTAACTTTATTTTTCAGGATACACAGCCTTGTTAAATATCTGTTCAGAAGCAGGTCTGATCAGATACTTCAGACCATTCAGTCTTCACAACTAGGAATTAAATACCAATTTTCTCTGCCTTCTATCTTCACATTTCTATAATTGCAGAGGACTTTCATTGAATTCTTGTTGAGGTTTCCTCTAGTGAGATCTTTGCTTAAAGCCTTGTGGACACTGGCTTGCTAGAATTTGAACAGATGTGGAAACTCAGAGCTTTTTGCTCAGAGATTTTTCTTTTTAATTGGCAGGTTTGCTCTATCCTCCTTCCCTTAGTCCCCAGCCCTCATCCTCTTGTCAATTGGCCAGCCATTGCCTTCACATGACTTTTTTCAGTTAGTACCCAAAACTGTCTCCCATTTCACTGGGATAAAGACACCCAAGAATCTATAGTGGATGGCAGATGTTTCTGGTTCCATATTTGGAAATAGAAATGAAATAAGTTATATCCAGTAACTGGAGTGTGAGTTCATGTCCAAAGGAATTAAATCCTTCAAATTACTCCTAGACCTTTTGTTCTTGGCTAAATTATATTAGATGAATCCTGGGGGAAAAAAACCTTGATTCTAAATATGGCAATAGCCAAAAGCTAAATAAACTTGGGGAAATTGTGTTACTGGACTGTTCAAAGAACAATAATATAAGAGACCAGCAAAATCTTAAGAGGAAGATGTTTATATGATTTTTTGCTTTAAAAAAAAATCAGCAAAAATCCAATAACTGGTATATGGATTTTGCCTGACTTTTCTTACAATTTACATGTTATTCTGAAATTTGCAAATTATTCACAATATATCAATACCTCAAATATTTATTTTTTTCCTACTCTCTTATATATTTAAACACTTTCTACAACTTTTACCAGTGTATATAATACAATAGTTTTGAGAAATTAGAAAATGAGAGAATATGAGGAGCAAAATAATGAATCTATTTATCCTCTTAGAGGTTATCAATTAAATGAAAATAATCAAATGAATGTTTGAAAGAGATGGATCATATCCTTAAAGGAAGCATTTATATATAAGCCAGTTAATACAAGATATTAAATTGGTTTCAAGAATGAGTGCATTCAAGACAAGATTTCATTGTACAACTCACACTAAACAATAAACTGCTTATAAAAATATGAAGAATACAACAAATTTCTTCTCCATTAGATAGGTGTACAAGAAGAAGGGGCAGGACACAGAAAGATGCAGAAGGAAATACTGGAAAATATATAAAGCTCTGGATTTAATAATAAAGTATTATTAATAAATTAATAAATTATTATTATTATTGTTGTTGTTGTAAATTATATAAGAGATTATGACCGAAGCATATACAATACTGAAGAGCATCTCTCCCTTAGCTATTCTAATTATCAAGGATAATTAAGACCAATTTATTTATTTATTTATTTATTAATTTAATTTATATCCCGCCCTTCTCCTTGCGGACTCAGGGCGGCTAACAACCAGATAAAACACTAATCCCAAAAAACTACAGTTAAAAACATAAGTAAAAACAAATATTGGTAATTTGGTCAAGTTAATTTAAAAATTGCTTTAAAACCCCCATTAAAATTTTCCCCTAGGCCAGTCCTGCAAGTTGGAATAACCATGTCTTAAGGGCGCGGCGGAAGGAAGGGAGATCAGGGATCACCCTGATCTCTGGGGGTAGCTCATTCCAATTGTATTTAGAATGAGTAGTTTCATGTTAGTTTTGGCCTGAAGACGTGAGGAAAGATAAACATGATATTCAAAGATAATAAGGTCATTGAGAAAAAAAATCTTAAAGATTTTATCTTTTGTCTTATTAATCTTGCAATTAAACAAATTGTTACTTCTTCAATGAGCAAATTTCTTTGAGTTTTCCTCTTAATAAAAATAATCATTTAATATCAAAGCAAGAGATGGGAAGTCTTGTTTAACCAAGTTATTCAGTATTATTGCATAATACCTTATAAACTATTCATTTCTGTTTGTATCAGCCTAGATTTTGTTATGTTGTTTTGTTTATGTTATTAGTGATCTTGGCACACAGCTGGAGAAGTCCCTGCACCTTTCTTGGTAAGGTTTTTTCAGAAGTGGTGGTTTGCCCTTGTCTCCTTCCCAGGGCTGAGAGGAAGTGCCCAACCCAAGGTCACCCAGCTGGCTTTTGTAGTTAAGGCAGAACTAGAACTAGAACTCCTGGTCTCCTGGTTTCTACCCTAACCTCTACACAAAACTGGCTGCCTCAAAAAGATATTTAGACAGAACATAGGGAAGTCCTGCCCCTTTCATGGAACTTGTTGGATCATAAGCAGATACAATCCACTCTATAGCTCAAATTAAGCAAAATGCATTTTAGTACTATTTAAAAGTTAGAGCCACCAACTATTGTGCTATTTCAGTCCTACTGAATCCTGTTCAACTCTATTTCCAATCTTGTAAAATCTTAAACATAATCTTGTCTTGCTGGAGTATATGTAGTTCATTATCTATTATTTTCAATCCTTTGTAAAAGAAAGTTAACTCTTGGTAAAATATTCCTTGTGATAGCAGCAATAAGAAAGACAATATTTCTGAAATATTATTTTTCTCAATATATTTCATTGCCAATGATTCTATTGTTAGTAAAAATAATGAAGGAGATGGGACAACTTTAATTTGTTCCCTTTGGCATGGTACATTGTTCCAATAAAAATCCTATTTTTATTTTATTTAATAAAAATATTTTATTAATAGCTTAGCATTTTTCCTTTTAAAAATGCTTTGTAGCTATTTAAAAAGTAAGAGCCACAACTCATCTTTTTCAAAACTTCAAACATAAAAGACTTTTCTAGATTGTCAAAACCTTTTTCTGTCTCAAAAACGATCCTAGCCACTGTTTGATTGGTTAGATTTGTCTTATCAATAACATTCGATATATATCTAATGTTGTCTCTAATATATTTCTTTGGGACAAATCCAGTCTGATCAGGTTTGTTATATATGTATTCTTCCTGCAAGTATCGTTGTGAAAATCTTAAAATTTACATTTAGTAAAAAGTACACAATTCAAAGGGGAAAATGTGGATCCAGCCTTGCCTCAATCAAATATTTAACTATTGATAGTGAAACGAGTAGTATGTTTGACCTATTGAGTTGAACATAGCTTCCTGAGTTTCATGTTACAAGCAAGCAATTCATGCACATCAGTAAATCAAGAACATCAAAAATCACGTACCACACAAGAAGCTTCATACTGCTTTCCCAGTTTGGGTCTCAAAAATGCACTGAAAAAAGACATAGATGTTGTTAACATATGATTCTAAGTATAGTATACAATTAAATATTTTGATTTATTGGCACAGTTATTTAGTTTATATACTGTAAGTGTATGAGTGTGTTTAAATCGATAGATGTCAGATAGTGTCATTTCAAAATAGCAATAGCAATAGCATATACCACCCCATCGTGCTTTTTACAGCACTCTCTTGGTGGTTTACAGAGTCAGCATATTGCCCCCAACAATCTGGGTCTTCACTGAATGGAAGGCTGTCAACCCTGAGCCCATCAGGATCAAACTCCAGGCTGTGGGCAGAGTTAGCCAGCATTCCTGCATTCGAATCTCTGCGCCACCAGGGCTCTTGAAATGCTATAAAGTTAGCAAGTATCTTTATGTGGCTGCTATGGAGAACATTTTCCAAGGTACAATTCTTATAACAAGCAAATGTACATCATAAGTACAGAACCTGATATGTGACCTCCAGCATCCATTTTGAATAAAGTTTAGGATCTCAGAGAGGAAAAGTTAGATGCTAAAGGATGGCTTAAATATAGCAGAGGATTGAGAAAGGCATCATTTTACCATTTAAAAATCCTCAGCCAAAATAAAGTCATTTTTTCTATAGAAGAATTGAATAGTGCAAAATGTTTATACCTATTTAGGCCCATGAACCCCTTCCTCCAAAGGCTAAATATTTATGATATAATCAGTCCAAATTATAATGGCATTATTAGTTGTATCCCCTGTGCCTTTGAAAATGAAAGGCATTTTTTTCTTTCTTGCTTACCACAAGGAAGTTGCACACCCTTGCCCTATGCCATTCCCTGTACGTGATATATATCCTGATAGATATGGGGTGGGATTGAAGCTAAATAAAAACAAAAAAAGTCCTACTCAGTAAGAGGTACTAATTGAGTCCTTGGGTTCTCCAGGTTCCATATGAGCAGGAATTAGTAGCGTTAATAGATCTGCAACAAGTGATATCATTGAACAGTAGCGTCCCAGATTTTCTGGCCTGTAGACACACTGGAGATTTTGAACATGTGTTTTGCATGCTCAAGTAAGCTGGTTACCATACGATGGTGCTTGCCCACTCCCAAAATGGTTGTCATGACAAATGTGGCCCGTCACAAAATTGTCAAGGCAAATTGGTAAGGTTGTTCATTGTCAGGACCCCAAGATCCTCAGCACCAGCTCTGAGCTTGCCTTTTTTTAATTTGTCTATTTTGTTTTTTCTGCAGTCACTTAATTTTTTTAATAATTAGGACAGGGGCTGCAAAAGTCCCCAAAAATGCCAACAGCGTGAAGTGAATAATCATTCAGCTGTCTAAAATGTCTATCGTATGCCTTAAAAAGAAAGAATGGCCCGAATTGAGCTAATTTGTGTAATACTTACTTTCATCAAATAAGAAATAATCCAATACCCCACCAACATTGGAAAATGATGATGAGCATCTGAATCAAGTCTGATGCAAGGAGGGGAATGATAAAGCTAGATGGTACCAAAAGTATGGTCCTTGTCCACCCTCCAATAACACAATGCCAACGTGTCCCCATCCCTACTAATCATGAAACAAAGAAATGTTCAGTTCACAGGCCACAGTCTGAGAAGGTATAGCCTGTAATTATTGAAGAGGTGAGTCATGAGATCCTTAATTCAACCTTATTATCTTCTATGATAATAACTAATCTTATGTTACTAAAGTAATTTTCAGCAAGAATGAGCTGAGTATTCTGTTGTGCAATATAAAGTGCTTGTTATACAGTGACTTTTATTCCCAGAAATCCTTTAAACTGTACATACATAATCATTATCATAAACATTAGATGAATAGCTAAATCTTTTATTGCACTGTATTTATGTCAGTTGAAAGACACTAGGAAATCACATCTCTAAGAAATGTAGAATAACCTGTTGTGATCCATTCTTGCCATTGTTAATGTTTTATTATTGGTAAATATAGTTTTTAATAGTTGGGGGCAAGTTTCCATAGGATGTTAATGTTCATTTTTAACTGGAAAGAAGGCATGTTTATAGATAGACAATGCATATATACAGGCAATGTTAAAACTAATACAAAAAGTTAATTTATTATTTTGCTGAACCATTTTAGCAATTATTACTTTATGGCTTTTCTCAACCCTCGTGAAGATGGGAAACTGAATCTGCAATTCCAAGCACACCCAATTGGGGAGTAAGAGGGGAAGAGGGAGGTTATTCATGGGACTTGAGATGATTTTCCAGAGGTCAGGTACAGTTTGCTCGACTGTATCTTCTTGTGCAATGCTGGCAATTGACTCCAGTTGCAAAATGGATTTTCTGACGTTTTCTGATAGCACAACATCCCCTGACACCTGCTGCAACCCTGACTTATTAGAGGTCACTGAGGAAGTGGTTTCATGGCATGCGGGGCTGGCACATGGCCAGCAGAGACATCAGGCTGCAGGCTGAGGGAATGGAAAGAACATAGATGTATCTTAACTGAGCCCCCAAATAGAGACCACCAGGAGAGGGCAGCAAAGAGTCCGAGGTTTCCGTATCTCTGCTGCTATCTAATACTGTCCCCCTAAAGCAGAGCGGACTATTTAAAGAAAAAGGTAGCTTCTCATAGCCCTGACTTCGGTCCCTTGGAATCGAGAACCTACAGCCGAGCGAAAAGCACGCAATTCTTACTTGAACCCCGGCCCTTGAATCCCAGCGAGGTTTAGCCGGCAGCGCCCCCTATTCTCCCTTACCTGGTTTGCCTCCACAGGAAGGTCTGGATAGGCAGCGGAACCCCTCGGCCGCTCTCCTGGTCCTGGCCTTCTGAGCTTTTCCTCTTCACCATGGTGCCAGTTCCTGTGCCGCAACAGCTCTTAGCCCATGTCTCTGGTCCGCCGCAGCAGTCCTCTCTGCCTCCGGCTCCGCTGGTGCAAAATGGCTGCAAAAACAGCGGCCGCAGCCAAGCGGGGAGAGATCAGCGCAGCTTGCGGGGAGGAGGAGGAGGCGGCGGCGGCAGCGGCAGCCAAGGACGAGAGGATAGTCGCCCCCCGCCCCGCATGACTCCCTTCCTTCAGAACCTCCTTCTGTGGACAGCAACCAGCGCGAAGGGACCTGCGCGTGATGTGTCAAGGGGACACCAATGCGGGGGGGGGGGGGGGGCGGGAGGGAGGCGACGATGGGGAGGAGTGGCGCCACCCACGGATAGCAAACTCCCCGATCTGAAGTGGAAAGTTTGGGGAGCAGCTAGGGCTTGTCGAATTTCCAGCTCTCTCCTTCACAGCCATAAACTCTAATTAATTCATTCCCTAGAATGGCCCTTTCAAGGGACTCAGAAACTGAGTTTGTGGTTATGCAGTAATGTTTCGAATCGTGGCTCGAGGGGGGCATACAGGAACTTGCTGATAGAGTCAGATAATCTATTTCTGGAAGGGTAAAAGATGAGAAAAGTAAATGCTGAAAACTCCTCCTTAATCAAAAGTATCTGTTGAAATTGAAGCAAACCAGTATCACAATCACAGGAACAGATCTAGAAAGCATACACAACATTCCTCTTCCGATTTTATTCCCATAGCAACCCTGTGAAGTAGGACAGCTGCTCATTTAGAGAGCTTTCCTGGCCTTATTGATGTCCATCTGAGTATTGTCTGCAGTGACTGGCAGCAGCTCTCCAGGGCTCAGATGAGAAAGGTTTCCTAGTCCCCACCCCCATCCCCTAGATAGGGCAGAGTTTTTCAAACTGTATTCTGTGGAACACCAGATATCCACAGGAAAACTATGGGATTCTATGAGAGACAACCAACCAACAAAAAAGTAAACAAACAAATGTGTTTCACTCAAACAAAATTCAATTTTCTATCATTTGAGTTTTATCTCTTGAGTAAGGGTTTAGAGCAGGCATGTCAAACCTGCAATGTCACATGACATTGCGCGACGTATCGCAACTTTTCCCCCATTGCTGGCAATGGGGTGGGCACAGTTTCAGTATGATGCATCTGGCCCGTGGGCCGGCAGTTTGACATGTCTGGTTTAGAGGTTTTTTTTAAAACAAACAAACAAACAAACAAACAGGTGCCAATAGAAGAGAATATTTGTAGCTCAGGGTTCAACTGTGGGGGTTCTTGGTGCTCTCTGAGCTTTGTTGATTACTTGCAAATATTTCATTACCAAAGTAGGTAACATCATCAGTGCACTGATGATGTTACTTAGTTTGGTAATGAAATGTCTGCACAAGAAGAGCACTAAGCTCAGAGAGCACCAAGGACTCCACAAACAAATAAGTTCTGCAAAACCAGTTTTGCCTGAAAAAGTTCAATAACTCCTGGCCTAAGGTATAGGATCCCAAAATGTGGAATCCAGAAGTACCAGCACAACCAGCAGCACAATCTCTTGGCATCCATCAAATTTCTTCCACAACATAATTTAATATATTATTTTGGAAAAAATGAATTCTTATTATGGTTAGCTGCACAGTCAGCCACATATTTAGACTGCATTTGGCATTTTTATCCACCCAAGTTCTTTCCAAGGACTTGGGATAGGCAGATGCTATTTGATTATATCAAAGGTTAAAGCCGTTCCAAGTAAAGCCACCATTTGCAATTAACTCATGGTGAGTTTGTCAATGCTGATGGTGTTCAAGTGTTGTTCCAGTTGTTTTGGGATTACACCCAAGGTACCTATTACTATTAGGACTACTTTTGTTTGTTTTGCCATAGTCATCCTATTTCTATTTGTAGGTCTTTGTATTTTGTTATCTTCTCCAGTTCTTTCTCTTCTGTTCTGCTGTTTCCAGGCATTGCCATGTCCACTAGCCAGACTTTTTTGTCTTTCTTCATTCTACAATTGTTAAGTCCAGGGTCTTATGTGGCAGGTGCCTATCTGTTTCCATTCTAAATTCCCAGAGCAATTTAGCTTCTTCATTTTTATGGCTTTACTTTATGGTCCCATCAGTCCTTGGTTGCAGGCAAATGATATTTGTTGCAGATCTTCCAATACACCATTGTTGCTATTTTGTCATGCTGTTGCTTGTATTCAGTCTGTGTGATCTTCTTGTAGCAGGACCAGGTGGTCCACTGTTTCTTCAGCTTGTTTGCATAGGTGGCACTTACTGTCTGTTGCTGTCTTCTCAACTCTGGCTTTGTATGCATTTGTTCTTAAGGCTTAGTCTTGTGCAGCCAGAATTAGCTCCTCTGACTCTTTCTTCAAATTTCCTGCTCTTAGTCATTACCAGGTCTTGTTGTTATCTGCTTTCCATGCAATTTTTTTCAATGTACTGGCCATGTACTGCTTTGTCTTCCAGTGCCTCCTTTCTCTTCTTCATTTGATCTTTCTTGCAGGCCAGTTTGGTCTCTCCAGTAGTCAGTATGCCTTCTTGGTGTACTAGCTTCACTGCATCTTCTTCTTTCAGACTGTCTTTCAGATATTCTTCCAAAGCCCTTATTTCTTCTTCAACCATCTGATGTACTTGCAACATCCACACCCATCCATTTTCCTTGGTAGGTAGAGCCTGTCAATGTCACTGCATGGATAAAGGGCATGATTCATTGTCATTGTCTTTATTTTTCTGGTCTTCCTATCCAGGCTTTTAGTTCTACTTGAGTCCAGTCCATGTTCTAGCTGTGTATCTAATGACTGGAATTGCTCAGGTATTAATTGCCTTGATGGTATTTCCTCCACTGAGTTTGGACAGTAAGAGCTTTCATTATTGTGATTTCACTTTTAATCTTCTTCCTGACTTTTGTGTATTTGGTGTTGTCAGCTTGAAGCTAATTTGTTAAGGAGTGGCAGAACTAGGGGTGGGGTTAAAAGAGGATTCAGCCTAGAATCCCTACATAGCCACAAATTAACTTAATAGGGATTCTAGACTGATCCGTCTTTATCTCTGCCTCAGATTCTGCCACCCCTTCTCCTATATTTGTAGTGATCTTCTCCATCAAGATTCTTTATGGTAAGGGTGGTACATTTGTGAATTTTTTCTCTTTTTATATTTGGATAATTACAAGCTGACAGTTACAGATGCAGCCAGGCAGAGGTGTTATAAATGGGAGAGGGGAACTCGTTTAGACCTTCAATTAAATGAAAACAAGAAAGGGACCTGATGCAACTGTTGATACAAAATATAACCTTGGCAAGATTTATGGAAGATCTTTGATGTTCTGGGAATACAGAAAAGGAGCACTTCTCTTGAGATGAACTATCAAGTTTGAGCTTTGTCATCCACAAAAAATTACTATTCAGGCTATGCTGAGAAGTCTCCCTGACCTGCAGATTATGAGAAGAGAGGAAATTACTAGTTTCCCTCTTGAGCACTCTTTGAGCAAATATATTTAACAGGAATTGAATCCTCATGTTGAAGAAATATTCTCCATATGAAAGCCTTGTCTCAACAAAAGTTGAAATTGAGCAAACCAATTCATTATGAGAAAGTGCAAAGACTGCCATGAATATACTAATCTCTCAGCAACTTTAAATTTAGAAGATCTCTTCATATGAACTCTGGAAATGCAGTGAGCAAGGAGACTCAGAAAAACAACAGCCACAAATATTATTACCCTAAGATTAT